TTCTTCCTGACTCCATCTTCTTCTTTCAGTCTCACTTTCCTCTCATCTGTTTCTTCTCATTTCCCCTCGTCAAACTTTTCCTTGTGTCCATCCCCCCCCTCTCTCTCTCTGTCTCTCTCTCTGACTCTGCTGACTCTGCGTGTTTGCTGCTCTCTGATTGGACGGTTCAGGGGTCAAGGGTTTGTTTGCAGCAGCCTCTGCTCCCTGATTGGGCCCCTGCTCCCCTGCGTTCTGATTGGTTGATGAGCGGCTTCCTGTCAGCTGCTCCAGATCTGCTGACTGGCTGTCAGGACCTCTTATGGCCGTCCAGCCGACTGCCTGAGGCGCTATTAATAGATGACACCTTGGAGCCCCTCTTCCTCTTTTTACTCATCTTCCTCACTGGTTTCCTAGCAACCTTCCTCACCTTCCTCTCATCTCCTTGTGTCCTTCGTTTCCCTTTTTCTCTCTATTTATATTCTTTCCTCCCTCTGATGTCTCGTCATCTCAGTCACAATCTGCTGGCTCCGCCCACTTCCAGTGGACTCCGCCCACCATGTTGGCTCCGCCCACTCCCAGTTGAACCAGAATGTTTTCCCAGAGTTCCTCCTGCAGCTCCTTCCTGATGAAGGTGATGACCTTTGACCTCCTCTCCCCCTCAGGCACATGAAGATCCATGACAAAGACCCGGCCAGCGGCCTGGTGCCCCTCAGCAGCCCCCCGTCCCCCACCAAGCGCCGCCGTCCCTCCGTGAAGCGTCGCCAGGGCCTGGAGGACGACCCCGGAGACGAGCCGCCCGCCAAGAAGGTAAGAGCCGCGTTGCTCCTGCCGCTCCGCCCGCCGCTCCTCAGGGAACCAACGGCCCGGCTCTGTGTCCAGGTGACGGAGGAGGCGGGGGCGGACGAGTCGGCGGCGCTGCCTGGGGCGGAGGAGGAGCTGCTGCCGTGTCCCATCTGCTTCAAGACCTGCAGCTCCAGACTGGACCTGGACGCCCACATGGACACGCACCCGGACACCCTGCTGAGGTAGGGACGCACCAGTTATCCCAGTTACCCAGTAAACAACCACTGGCTGGTTGCCATGGAAACAAACTCACCTGTCCCACAAAGACGGACACAAAGTAAGTTTGTTATTCATGGAGAAGGAAACTAGAGATGGAGGGATGAGAAACTGGAAGAAAGAAAGTGATGATCAGAATAAAATATGGAGAGAAAATGATAGAGTGATGAAGGGATGATAAAAGGAGGAAAAAATAATGAAAAGAAAAGCTGCAAAGGTCAGCAGGTGGCGCTGAACTCGTTATGGAGGGAGGAGAATATTTAGAGGTAAATCCTCGTTAATCAGCCGGTAAGAGGATCGACTGGAGGGAGGGATGGAGAGAG